AACGCAATGACGCGACATCTTTGTTAAGATGTCTTCACGAAATACGACAATCTCCCTAGTGCAGAATTGTATCCTGCAAGGATTAGAGCAGAAAGTGACATTGCTAATCCTACTGGTGATATCTGATGTTAAGCATGATGGTATGGGGGGCCGGGGGAGAATATCCCCGGGCCCCGGATCAAGGGGTCCAGGGACAAAGAAAAATTGAGACTTTTCGAGTAGATCTGGATAGTTAAGCATGATGTCGCCAAGTGCCTTGAATGAATCTTTCAGTCTTTTGTGTCGGTCGGCACCGTAAGGGGTGGAGCTAAAATTACCCATAAATATAAAAGCGGCTGGTGGAAAATCAGAATAACCAGAAAATAGAAGAGGGAGCTTCTCGAGGACTTTATCATCATCCAGAAATAAATCCGAGAAGAATACTAACATGACCCCTTGGTTACCCTTTAACATATCCTGGAGTTTAACGGAGGCCTTGGCAGCTATTGGAGAAGGCCCACCAAAAAAGTTAACAGTTCCAAAATAATTCCTAGTGATTGCAGAAGACTCAATGGGTGGGCACCCAATGGCCGATAAATGAAAAACTCCGTCTTTGAAAAGTCCTTCAGCAAGTACAATAGAGTTCTCGACAAAAAGCCCAGTGTGGAATAAACAGGCCGAGAGATCCAATTCGATTTTACCCGTCAAATCCTCCAAATAGAATTTCCTCTCCCGTAGCTGTATCAACATACCTAGTACTATTATCTTATCAGGGAGACCAGAACTGCTTAGGAGGTATTCAATCGTGTGCAATCGAAATTTCGGGCCTTTACTAGACCCAGCCGCTCCGACGACGGGAGGGCTGAAAAGATGATGTCGAACAGTCCGTTGATAAATTAGGTTGTATCGCTCTCGAAAAACTTTCGTCTTTTGCAGAGCAGATGCAAAGAGCTTCATGGAAGGAAGAGGAATTGGCAGGAATTTTTTCTGGTCAGGATTATAAGTGAAAGGTGGTGTCTCGAATGCATTTATTAGAACTAGCGCTTTATCTGGGTCGGAGTCTGTTTCTTGGTTGCATTCTTCTACTGCTGTCTCTATCACATCTTTATCTAGGAGTGATTTCTTTAGTGGCTGCTTCTGAACTGCTTCTATAATGTCGTCTATTATCTGCGTGAGGTCCTCACTGTCTTTATAAAGGTCTAGTACCTCCACTAGGAACGTGGTGGCCTCGTTGGTGAGCTGAAGTCCTTGCAATTTGAAATCAGTTACTATCCTCTTTCTGAAAGCCATTTTATTCCCTCCACCCTTCCTTCTTGAGACTGAGTTGACGCCTTGATTTGATATTGATTCTAATTTGATCTAGAACACTCCCTTTGCATGATAAAATGTCCTCCTCAAGGAAAATAGCTTATTTTTATGATCCTGATGTCGGTAGCTTCCATTATGGTGAGGAAGGGAGGGAAGGGAGATGGTTATATTGTATTCTGCAGGTGCTGGTCATCCAATGAAGCCTCACAGATTAGCACTGACCCACACACTTGTTCTTAATTATGGACTCTACAAGAAAATGGAGGTCAGATATTTTGTCTATTATTATAATTCTCTATATATTTATATGCACTATGGAATATGTATTAGGTAATTGGATTTATGGGCAAAATGTTTTTCAAAACGTTATTGTCCAATATTAAATTACGTGATTATTATTATTATCATTATTTTTTTTAGGTATATAGACCATATAAAGCTTCAAAGCTGGACCTGTGCAGGTTTCATGCTGAAGATTATATTGATTTTCTACAAAGGTTTCATAAATCAAGAGACTATAGTCTTTAACCCTCCCTCCTCCTCTCTCTCTTCTCTCTCTCCT